AATACTAAGCAGTAGCTATTGTTATTTTGCGTATCATGAGGATTATGGGTTATGCAACATAAAACAGCTTTTTCGTAGAGTTTTGCAACGGTAGGGGCAGAAGGTGGATGCCCAGTAACTACGGATCATCAGTTGGATGCCCCAAATACAATATATATTTGATTGAACATGCCAGAACAAGGCGACTTCGCAGCCAAACAAACCGAATTCTGATTAATATCCATGGGGTCACGAACTCAGGCCCTGATCAGACGGATTCAATTTCTTAATGAGAATGCTAAACGATAGTAACCGTCGAGGACCCATTTCTGCTACTGTTTTCTGTTAATGTCTCTGATAATGAATCCACGACGGATGGCGAAACGTTAGGCGAATAAACTTATTGTCCCAGCAATCGAGTCGTCCTCTTCTCAACTATTTCAAAGTAGCTGCCTGTAGCTGACACAATATCGATTCGTCACATGAACAGCTCCAATTACACGTAGACTAGTGGACTGAAAAGTACTTAATTTAGGAATTACGCGGAGTAGTGCATTTATTAAATCTGGCAATTTTCGACCCTGAAGAGCATTCGAGTAGAACGAATAGCTTTGCTCTGATTGTCTCAAGAGGTCTCTAGAGCTATCGTGCGCTAGAATACAATTTCTCTCCTTTTCATTTTAACATCAATTGTGATGAAATTGCTGCTCAAATTACCAAAATATCGATAGTCTTAAATCTTGGCATTCATTTGTCAAATGTTTTCCCTCTCAAAGTCCTTTTGTAATGTGTAGTTCGGTTTTCGGGGAAGGATAACGTAAAGACTTTATATTTGGCTTAATTATTTGTGTTTAACTTCACTTGTGTACAACTTGTAAGAAAACCTGCTAAGGGTCTCCACAGAAACTTAACCGTACTGAAATCTTCGACCATAAGCTTGACGTGAAAATATCGCCAAAAGTACGTGGTCTGATTGCGCTTCTGGGCACGTATTTAAGGCTTTCTTGCCAAAGTGAACGACTTTTCTGACTACTTCCGCCACCATCAAATGATAACTCAACTCTAGGCCGGAGAGTATTTCTTACTGCACGGTTAATTGACAGCTAAGATAGTTATCTCCTTCACGTTCGCTCCAAGTTCACGCAAATTTTCTTAGTTTTCAGCTTTCTTAGGGGCATTTTATCGACGGCTGAATGAATCCAATCTCCGACCTAGACACCATATATAAGTACATTCAATTGAGATTATGTCCACAGAAAAAAAAAATAGGAAATGAGAGTACAAAGTGTAGCTTTTGGTGGCGCACTGTTCGGTGAAATGGAGTGATCTGAATAGACGAATCAGAGGTTTATGTGAAACATCTGGAAAGAGAGATTCAAACATGGCGAAAATGTACAAAAATGCCTAAACGAAATGTGCCTGTCATACTGCCTAGATTTAGGGAGGGCTACGGCATAACATAGAAGTAAGTTTAAAGTGATAGTATTCAATATCCAAGTATAAATGTTTAAAACTACCTTCGCATACCGAGAGAAACTTCATCATCAGTAATAACAGAAACTGGGAATCCTTTGTCCTGACATGGCAACGCCACTCCTCATCGGCGAAAATTATTGAAGTCCTTATCAATAACAACGGAATACAAACCCTAAGTGAGTAATCGGACTTTGTTACAACTGATCATATATGGGATATCTTGGAAAAGATGTTAGTCAGCTTGAGTTTCCGCATAATTTAAAATTCCCGAGCAGTTACAATTACACTGGTCAAGCACTTGGTGGACGGTCGAGGAATTAGAGGTGGCGAGCTTAGTGTCGTTAATGATGGAATTGAAATTGGCAGGCACGAATTACAAGTGAATATGCAATAAATTTCGTGGAGAGGGGGGCTAGGGCTAAGGTTAGGGTCAAGTTTAGGTGTATGGTTTATGGCTAGACTTACGGTAAGGATTGGAATTAGGGCACGAAAATAGGTTGGGACGTCGAAATTAGCGGAAGGCAACCTCCTTCCTTTCTTATTTACGTGGCCAAACATAAAGTGCAGGATTCATGCAATATGTATCGTTGCCGTATCCGCCCACGTTTATCGTCGGAGTTTCGCATTTGACCTAAGATATTTTTTCCATTACGTTTGCGCACATCAAGATACACGCTTGCCTAAATCTGAAAGGGTGTCTTTTGCGCAGATGTATCCAGGTAAGCTCTATCTTTTGAGTTTTAGCTGGAAGAATGGCATCGCTGTGCTTTTGGAAGTATTTAGGCATAGTCGCTTATTAACAGTGCCTAGATGTTCAAAAATAACTCTAAGCAGAACATGTCCGAGCTCTCGTTCCATTGTACAGAATACGATTTAAAGCAATTCAGTAGTTAAATTCAAAGAGGAGGTGTTTTACAGAGTAAACGTCGTCGCACAGGTTAAAGTTTTAGAGAATTTGGCGTTAAGCGACCCGGGATACAGGGTGTCCCAAACTGCCCGCTTCTCATACAACGTTGTTCTTTTTAATGGTTTGCACATAAGCAGATATTAAATTGGTTGTTTGCTTTAAGTTTAAACCACACTTCATTAATCTAATCGGCTGAGTGGACGGGATCTCGTTTCTTTTCCAAATTGCCTCCCTACCTGAGGATACCTTCGTCAAAATAAATGAAAGAGTCACAAATCCTGATTACATTTTCCTGATGTTGCTCTAGATGGCTGTTTCCTTAGGCCTCTCAACAATGTATTCCATTCTATGGAAAATCGTTTGATAGGCATGAAAATACGTACATTCGGAGTTGAAGGTTGGGGTTAAGTTTACGAGAAGGATTTTGGTGCCCCTAGAGTTAAGAATAAGCTAACCGTAATACGGATTGTATTTATTTCCGTGTCCAACAGATTTATTTATACATACTTCAAATCTGAACACCTATTTATCTATTTTATAGGTAACTGGATGTTGAAATGTTTTTTAAAAAAATGTTTTGCACCACGAAACGTTTTCTGGGTGTGACTACCATGCAGATATTTATTTCGGATCGTTTAAGTGAACTTTATTGTAGGAAATCTGAACAGCCATTCCATGCGTCAGGTTCTTTTTTATTAAAGCTAGAGTGGCGAAGACAACATCTGTTTCGTGTTTACTCAGTGCCCTATCCACCATATCGGTCGGAAAGAGCATACCACTGGTCTCGTTTTTGTGGTCTCTCTGAGGCTTGCTTGCCTGTTAATCCGAACACCAGAAGACGCAGCTAGTTTAGGTTGAGACACTAATCAAACCAAGAGGCGTTTCTTTCAGTTATTCGGTCCTGTCTGGTTTAGACTTTTCGAGGCCGTAAGTGTGAGGTTATTCGGTAAAGCAACTTCTGCCTAAACAGTATCCGGCCTGTATAACTATCTCGTAATAAATAGTAGTAGAGAGTATAACACAAGGAACTGGAGATTCTAGAATTGGCACGGTGGGTTGTTGGTCACCATCAGGTAAGAAAACATCAGCCACACATGCTGGCGCACTCGAGGGCCAAAGCACATACACTGAATAATTGGGTGTTTTAGTTTTACTTTCTATCCATTTGAACCTACCCGCGATCA